CACAAGTTAATTATACCCGAAGGAATAATGGTAAGTGAGGTAATAAAAAAAATTAACTCCGAAGAACGTTTAATGGGTGAGATTTCAGGAGCTATACCTGAAGGGTTTTTAATAAATGTTTTAAGGAATACAGCTTAGCAAGTAGAGTAAATAAAACAGGACAGTTTATAATCTTATTTTCCTGCAATATCATGGTAATTTGCTCAATTGAGAGCTTAGATTTGATTATTATGGTTCTATCTTCTTGTAACGCTCCTGGAACAAATAAATAAAATATAGTAAAATTAATTCCACTAATTAATAAAACTAATATTGTAATTATCAAAGCGAGCTTGATCCTTAATATTTTTTTGAACAATTTAATACCTAAGATATAAATGGAAATTAGAGGTCTACGGTTCTATACTCATTTGTGCAGCTGAAGAATTAGTAGACGATGGCAATTTAAGAGGATTAGAAGTGTTCACGCCCTAGAGCGCAGCGTTACTACTCACCTTTCAAAGATAACATAGTACCAGGCAAGATTTTCTCCCCGCGGAGAAACTCATCGACATATAATATTTTTCTTCCTTGTTGTTGTAGCCTAGTGATTTTCAATATACCTTGCCCACACGCAACAAATAACTTGTCATTTAATACGGTACCAGGCAACATCTTAGTTTCTTTGTTATCGTATTCTGCCTCCAAAATTTTTATAATTTTACCATTATACTCAAAATACACCCCGGGCCAGGGATTCATTCCACGAATTTTACAATCTATTTTATAGGCAGTATCGCACCAATCAATTTTTCCTTCTTCTTTCTTAAGCTTAGGAGCATAAGTAACATTTTCTGTATTTTGAACTACTCTTGGTAAACCGCCAATATTATCTAGAACATTTAGTAATAAAGTAGCTCCTATTGTTGCACATTGGGCTTGTAAAAGCGGCAAAGTTATGCGAGTAGGTAATGTAAAGGAGTGCTGCAATATAATATCGCCCGTATCAAAACCTTCATCCATCTGTATTATAGATACTGCGGTAGTACGGTCTCCTGCTATAATAGTATGTTGTAATGGCGCTGCCCCTCGGTGCCTTGGTAAACTTGATGGGTGTATATTAAGGCATCCATATTTCTTGGATTCAAGAATTGCTTTTGGAATTAAAAAACCATAAGCTACTACTATGATTGCTTCGGCCTCAATGGCAGTGATTAAATTCACTATTTCTTTACTTCTTAAGGTAGTAGGGGTATAAATTGGAATATTATATTGTAAGGCCACCTTATGCACAGGAGAAGGTATCTCCTTTAAGCCTCTTCCTTGAGATTTAGGGAGTTGAGTAAATACCGCTACTACTTTATGATGAGTAGAATCTATTAATTTCTGCAGAGTAGGTACCGCAAATTCTGGGGTACCCATAAAGATTACTTTCACACAATATTGTTTTTAAGCTTTTTTAATTTACGTAAGGCTACATCTTTTTTTATTGTACTTAAATAATCAACTAATAGCTTGCCCTCTAAATGGTCCATTTCATGCTGTATAACTCTAGCCAGCCAACCATTAGCGTTTAATTCTTGCCTATTATTATTATAATCTAAATACTGGATATTGATCGACTCCGCTCTCGCCACTTCTACTAGTTGTCCTGGTAACGACAAACATCCTTCCGTTGCTATAACTAATTCTTTTGACTGGGCCATGATCTCTGGATCTACAATAAATAATGGATAAAATCCAGCTTCTCTGGTTAGATCATCATTATCCTGTAAATCAATTGTTAAGACACATTTATGGAAGCCAACCTGTACCGCAGCTAACCCTACACCGTGGTCATAATACATAGTCTCCAGCATATCATCCATTAATTTTCTTATATTATGCGTTACTTCTCCTATTAGATGGGATTTTTGTTTCAATCTCGGGTCAGGAGCAGTGACAAGAGGTAATACAGCCATAATTTTCTTAAATCATCAATTGAACATCTATCTAATACTGTTTTAAAAGTAACCTGGTATTACAGAGAAGATAAATTAATCATATCATAAAATATTATTAATTTCTAACTATTTTATTATTGAAGAGCCTAGAGATGCGGATTATTTATCCAATGGCGGCTATAGGCATAGAAAGAAGGATTTTTGTAATTATCTTTTTTATAAGTTAGCTCCTTACCTTCTAAATCTACAATATTACCGCCATTAGCTCTAATTAGCGCATGTCCAGCCGCAACATCCCATTCCATAGTCGGGCCAAATTTAGGGTAAATATCACATTTTCCTGCAGCTACTAAACATAACTTAATAGAGCTAGGGATACTTACTACTTCTGTAATAAGGTGTTTCGCAAGGAAATTCTTCGTATCTATGTTGGCTGAATGAGAGCTTAATACTGCATTACAATAATTTTTCGGTAAAGTATCAAGTGTTTCTTCTATACCCTTCTCTTCGATCCTTAAAGAATTATTATGATCTGTATAATATAGCCTGTACATTGATGGTAGATAAATTAGGCCAATTGTAGGTATACCATTTTCTATCAATCCAATATTTATAGTATATGTATCATCACCTTTTATATAGCTTTTAGTACCATCAATTGGGTCAATTAACCAAAAACTATTTTCAGTTAGAGTAATTATCTCTCGCTCTTCACAAATTATTGCTATATTTGGAGTTAGTCTTGTTAAATTTTTATATATAAATTCACTAACTTCTACATCACCATTTGTTACCGGAGAGTTATCCTCCTTATAAGAGACGCTTAATCCTAGCTCCCTTTTAATCAAGGCAATTTCCCCAGCTTCAATAATTAAATTTTTTAAAGATTCAACTAATTTCTCCATTGATTATTATATACTCCTGTGGGCTACAAAGTTGATAACATTTTTATTCGGTTGTCAATAGACTGCCTGCAGAAGTCGAAAAAGCCGCCGGAATTCTTAGGAAAAACGAAGCCGGGCCGAGCTACATACTCAAATGTACATGAGGAGCTGAGACAAATTTTTACAAAAAAATCACCAACTAGATCGACTTATGCAGAAGGTCTAATTAATCAGTATAATTATCGAACATATTTTGTAAGCTCATTTTAATTTGACTTATTATAGTTATTTCTTTGATTGCAGGCGGTGTAAACTCTACCTCTGGATAGGAAGGACGCGTTTGGAATAATAGTGCTTCAATAACATATTTATTAGGTGCCTTTATTGGGTGATAATGGTGTTTATATAGCTCTGCTAATAAAGCAGCCATTTCAGAATGTATAGTAGGAATATCTTGTTTATTACTAAAACCTACCCCTACTACCTGAATGTTATATCCTTCTATGTGATGCTGCTCTAATTCGACATTTATTGCGGTAGCTGCACCTAATTCTTGCCGTTTAACATACGGTTGGTTACTAATCAATAAAATATCAAACTCTTTTTGTTCGCCAAATTCTCCATTAAGAATTTTTTTAATCAAAGGCTTTATAGCATCACGAGCAGTACTCATAGTATTAGGTCGTTGATGATTTATAGATACAGTATCTATTATAGTAGCTTTATTGTTAAGAAAACTATTTATTAAATCCATACCCATTAAGCTTTCAGTCAGCTTTTTGCTTGGAGAATTTGCATAATTAGGGTAAACTCTCCCAGGAAAAAGCCCTTTTGGACATTCTTGAGGTTGTTGATATTCAATAAATGGCTTATCTGGGTCTAATTTAATATTGTTTTTATCAGCTAATAAGCTTATATATTCTTTACCTTCTTTAATACGCTCATCATCTTCACCTATTGGTAAAGCAATATCTAAGTTATTGATATCTAGCTTTTTATTATAAGCGTCTAATAATTTTTGGTATATCTTAGGATTAATGCCATCAAGATTAGCCCATAATGGTCTTTCTCCTGCCAAGACTATAGTATCACCTTTTATTTTTACTTGCTCTATTAATTTATTATAATAAATTATACGTGCGAATAAGCCAATTCGCGAGGCACCAGCAATCCATCCTTCGGTATATTCTTGTACTTTAGGTAAGATTTCATCAATAAGACCTAATTCTTTAGCAGCGTTAATATATTGTTCTTTATTTTTATCCATCCACCCTTGAGAAGTCAGTTCATTACGTTCTTGACCTGCTTTACGGTTAAAAGCGTTTTGTGCAACATATAATATCCAAGCTTTTACATCTTCTACTTCTATTTTAGGATTATCTTTGAATAAGTTCTTCCGTAATAATTTAGAATTAAATTGGTTTATATCTTCCTGTGCGGCATTAGCGATATTCAAGCTTTGCATAATAGAATTATATATTTCCTCACGATGCCCTGTTTTATCAAATAATAATAAATCATTCCATAATTTGGTTTGATTAAAATAACCTGCTAAATAAAAAATTTTTAATAAAGCTTCTTGCTGTACCTTATCCTTTACTTTATATTGTAGCATTATTATCTCTTTTTCAAGCTACTTTAACTTTACCCGGTATTGCTGGTATAATATTAACAATCGGTATGGCCGTTGATGCTAATGTCCTTATATACGAGCGAATAAGAGAAGAGGTAGTTAAAGGCGCTTCTAATTTATTTGCCATTAATATAGGGTTTAAGTCCGCTTTTTCAACAATTTTGGACTCTAATATCACCACTTTAATAGCTGCTTTTTTACTTTATATATTTGGTAGCGGGGCGATAAAAGGTTTTGCCGTTACTTTAACAATTGGTATAATCTCTTCTATGTTCTCTGCAATTATCATTACTAAATTACTAGTTGATATTTGGGTAAGATATAGGAAACCAAAAGTTTTAGGCTTATAAGCTAGATTAATTTGATCGGTAGTGCATACCTATTTCAACATTTAATGATATTAATTAAGAGGGCCGTTTCATGAGTAAATCCCGTATATTTAAAGCATTATATTTATTAACTGCTATTGGGCTTCCTATAGGAGGGGGCTACGAGAATTATAAACATTCAGCTGCGCCATCTCAGTATGAATTAGCATTTGAAGAGTTATTTTCTAAAAAAGTAAAA